CCACATGCACGTTCCTGGGGTGCCGTCAAATCCGAGAACAGCCATAATTTGCATCCAAAGGAAAAAGCATTACATAATATTACATAGACTGTAAAAAGAGTCCCAGGGAAACCTAATAAAGGGCAGAAAAATTCAGGGACGGATAACCAAAAATACCACTGACTTCATCCTAGAGGTATGTGTTCAAGAAGAATATGCTGTTGCATTGGTGAAGCGATCTGATACAAGAAAACAAGGACTGTTTCATATAGAGAAACTGATTGAGTGGCCAGTTATGGGAAAACTGGGGGTGGACAAACCACCATGAGATTTTGAAGCTAGTCTTCCTGCCCTCAAAACAACTCAACTCAACTCTCAATAAAAATGCTTTCCACTTACCAACATCATCGTCACTCCTGTTTCTGTCTTTATCTTTCCACATCAGACGGGTTACCCAGGTCACAGTGTTCTTTTGGACCCAAGATGTGCAAATCATGCCTTGAAATCCCATTTACTTCCAGGACAGACGTCGCAGGAACTACATGAATTGCTAATCAATCAGCAGATGTTACAACTGACGACTGAGAAGATGTCACAGCTGTGGTGTACATGCTCTGAATTTCACTATCAGAGTTAAACATTCCTTGAATTAGGGCTGGGCAATATGGCCAAAAAAATTATCGCGATAATTTTTTTCATATCGGTCGATATCCATAATTATCACTATAAATGTCAAATATTTATTTCTTTCAAGTTTAAAGCCAGATTTTTGCTCCAAAGTGAAAGTTGTAGAAACCAGACCATTAATTTTCCTTAAAATAAATTCTTAATAGAAATTTTTTTTTCATTATCAAAATCAGTAACATCTGTAAAAATTGTAGCAACCTCAGTTTTATATTGTTAAATTTATTCTGACCACGTTTTTATTTATTTATTTTAAATTAAGCATTGGTCTCCCATAGTAGCATACATTTAAATCATGATAAACACAGTTAAAACCACACATATAGCACCTCAATACCATGGTAAAAATATAACTATATTGTTTTTGAGTAGCCTATTTATATGAAAAACAGTAGTCTAAAAACATTCAGTACAAATGCACACATGCTATAGCTTAATCACAAATACATACTACAATTATATACCATTAATCCTTTAATAAAATTCAGTGTGAATATCCCACATTTCTGCCACAATACCAAGGTGCAGTGAGTGTTACTACAGTAAATCCATGGTAAATGATGGTGATTTGTAGATTGAAAAGCCTTCTGACTGTCTCGTTGCACACAGCGTTTCTCCTGTTTGGCTTTAAAATAGTTTAAATCACCGAGTCATTTGTGTTCATCGCTGAATTCAAGCTGCTTCACACTGGATCTCACAGCGCTGCTTAATGCTCGCGTGACCGAGTAAACGCATCTGCTGTAGTGAGCTCGCGCCAGCCGTTTGAACTTTGATCTGAGCGGATAAATATGGAAGGCTAAAAGGTCCAGCCTTCCATAGATAAACAGTCCCTGTGGCGCGATTTAAATGAGTCGCGCGGTTTCGTTCAGCTTTTGGTATATCGTTTTATCGAGGAAAACTATATCGCGATAATTATCGTTATCGAATTATCGCCCAGCCCTACCTTGAATGCACATTCCTTGTGCACAATCAGCGCTCAGTAGAGGAACAGTCATCGGTGCTACAACTGTGTTCTACAGTAGGAGTTTTCAAACCAGGAGGCCACAAAAAATGTGTAGAGAAAAATTGTGTAAAAACTAATTTTAAAAATGTGAAAAAAAGTAATTTAAATAATAATAAAAATACAATAAAAATAAAATTGAATAATTATTAAATAAAATAATATAAAATAAAATACATTATAATAAAAAATAAACATTTCTGACATTTTATAACAAAAAATAAAATAAATTGAAACCAAATCTAAAATCAAATAAAAAATATAATAAATAGCCAAAACTAACTGATAAAACAAATTATTAAAATAATATATGAAATCATACACAATAAAATAAAATATAAAAATATATAAAATCAAATAAGAATTATATAAAATAAAATAGAAAATAATACAATCAAATAGAAAATAAAATGAAAAACTTTATAAAATAATTAAATTTAATTATGAAACAAAAATAATATATAAAACTAAATAATACAATCAAGAATAAAATAAAATAAAAATAAGAAAATAAAATAATACATTTAGATGTACACTGACGCAAAACTAAAACCATAAAGCTTCTTTATTGTCGAGCTTAAGACACATTCTGTCAGCCTAAGCATAACAGTCATGTTACTGCCACCAATATTATACTCAAGTAAAGGCTTGTGAAATAAACATAACTCAATGTTTGTGTAACCTGTTGGACTTGAACCAGCACCAATCATGGTGGCCACCCATGGCACTTCTTCCCGGCACTAATTCACACTTAATACATGAACCATTAGCTAAGTTCCAGAAACTGACAACTTGGATTGGTAAGGCAGTATTTATATAGGGACCGTCGACTCTGCCGTGTGACTCCACCGGGCAAAGGATAAGTATAGCTTTTTACTTCTCCTCTTTCCTACTACTTGTTTCACGTCTGTTTCAGTTTGCTTCTGTTGTCCTCATTTGTAGGTCGCTTTGGATAAAAGCATCTGATAAATGACTAAATAAATAATAATAATAATAAATAATAATATAGGCTACCAAGAACAGCCATGATGACATTGCTACGGCAGCAGTATTATTCCTCACTGAAATGCATGAATGAAATTCATTATGGGATACATGGGAAATACATGGGAAAACACTTGTCCAAGATAGCCAAACGGAAGCACGAAGGGTCCGCAGCCCATGTCCCAGACCACTATCTTGAGTTAAATCACTGATAGAGCTTTGTACCCTCCCTGTACTACACAACAGAGCTTTGTGCACCAAACTACAAACTGGCTGTTTGAATTAAACGGACAGCTTTGAGACAAAACTAACAAAGATACAGCTAATAAATAACCAGTATCATGAACTAAAGTGCATTAAACTGTCACTTTTGGCCATTATTTGTATTATTTGATTATTTGTACTGTTTCTGGGTGAATTTCATTAATGATAATAACTATATAATACTTCTTTGTTAATTAAATATAATACTTACATAAATATATATTTTTAATTACTAAACATTTATTTTTTGACTTCCTTTTTACAAGATTACTGTTTACATTTTTGTCTTCTGTCAAGAAGAGAGCAACTAGGTTGTAAAAAATAAAAAATTTTGATTTATTGGGCAATAATTCATCAGTCATGCGGGATGACACATCTTCCTTTAAAAAATTTGGTGTCATGTGATAATCATCTTATCTTGCAGCAATAAGTTAGTTGAAAAACAACCAAGGAATAAAAAAACCCAGAAGTAACTAAGATGAAAAATCTCAACAATTAGGTCTACATTAATAGAAAATTGCAATTATTATTATAATTTTTTTTTTGTGTACTGTAGTTAGGGGAAAAAACTTCAATTAATCACAGGATTTTTAATATATTTTATTTAATATATTTTAAATATTAATATATTTAATTAAATATACTGAATATAAAATATATTTAATTTATTTTAAATAGAAATGAATTTACAGTATAAATAAAATTATTACAAAATGACAAAAAACATATTTGAATATACAATTAGTTAAACCATGCTTTTTTTGCATACTTAAACTTACCCATGTGTAAAATTGACATTAAAATAATGTCATAATGCAAAAAATCTACATAATCCTTTAAAAAGGATTCAGTTTCTTTATGCTATTGGTGCAGTATGTACCAGATACGTTCTGACATGTTTCAACAAACTTTTTGTCTTTTACATATGGTATTCTGTCTTTCCAAAACAAAACATGGCCATAATTGCTTTTGTTTCCCTCCCCATGTAACAGTCTAGACCAAGTGATGTCTGCTTGCGTCATCTGTTGGAGGACAAGAGACTTTTAATTGAGCTTCTCTACACTCTGCTGGCAAAGAAAGAAGAGGGAAGTCTGCGTGACTTCTGCAGTTACACAACCCACTGGGTCCACCATTGTCATCTATCTGACCAACAAGGCCAATATCACCAGAATAAATAAAGACATAAACACTATTATATTCCCTTCTCCAAAGGGTTTTGCTGAGAACGAATGACAGGGAATGGGCCGTGATCCTCCCCTTCATCGCTTTCCATGGAAGGGTTAGTTTGCATCAGAACAATTCCGTGGAAACACAATTCCCAGAAATGACTGTCCATTCAGAGAAGTGAAAGACTTCTAATCTAATGCATGATTATGAGACGCAATATGCCATTGATTTATTAGTGGCCTGAGAAAAATCACTTGGAAACAAAACTAAACAACAACAGGTTGATACATTTTACAGTACAATATGAGTTCAGACAAGACCAGCTCTAGCCTGAAGGGTTTACACTCTTGGTTTCAATACCACTCATCCCTTATTAATAAACCTATTTCATCACCTAAATTAGAAATGCCCCATTTATTACGTTTATGAAGCGCAATAGAGAAGCATTGAACATACTGACAATAAATGTCAGCTCTAAGGAAAGACAGATATGACAGAAATGAAAACATAAAGTTCAACTCCGCTAATAGAAACGTAAACATAATAAACAAGTAGTTATTTTAGTATTGTAATCTGTTTATTAGCAATATTTAACAAAGTGGTCATGCCATACTACGCAACACTAACTTAACTTACCAGGTAACGTTAAATTCATATTTGCCTCACAAAACTTATTTCGACCCTTAGTGACTCTTTATAACAGCACTTCCGATATCAAAACGAACTATTCAAACTAATACGGTTAAAAATCCAGTAACACACAAAACAATACGATAAATTACAGTAAACGTTAAGTAATCTGAAGTTTTCGTAACAATCTCAAATACGCTACGCATATGCACTGCGCATGCGCCGAACGATTTAGAAACCGGTACGCAAACAACTCTCAAAACTCTGACAGGAACAGGTTGAACTTGCTTACTTGAATAAAAGCAGCTCTTGAATATATTTCCCAAGTCTTTTTTCTCGTTTGACGGCTTGGGAGTGGTGAGACAGAAAATAGCCCTGGTTTTTCTCAGCTCGTCACACTTGAAGCTATGTTGAACTGAAAGCCGATACTTCCGCGGCTGCTTTTACTGACACGTCTGACTGGACGCGAATCTACCCAGCTAGTGTATGGGACGCGACGCGTCGGTCAGGACTCTTACGTCAACACCCACTGACCAATCAATGGCGACGTGCTCATCGCCGCGTGAAGTGATTCGTGGATTCTGAAGGGAACTTTCTAGTTTCGCGTTCGCGTCGCGTCTCTCACTCGCAGATGCATCAGACTCTATTATTTACAAATTACGAATAAAATAACGAAATAGTCGTGTTTTTGTAGTCAGGTAGTCTTGAAGAAAATGTTATGTATATAATTTCTATGATGTTTAAAATATGTTTGAGACGTGTTTTAGACTGTTTTAGGTATTAATAATTTCTTCGTTTGTTGCGCGCCCTGGTGGATACAGAGCTAAATAGCCGTTTAAAAAAAAAAAAATCTCATATAGGGTCAAGATTCTATTCTATTCTATTCTATTAATTATTAAAAAGTTCTAGACCTGCTGTGACCTTTCTTATGAAGCATGCAAACCAACGGGTAGACCAAATTTATGAATGAATGAATTAATACGTTTTGTTTGGCTTGATTATTCTGTAACAATAATGCAGCCCTCACAGGTCCATTGTAAACTGAGCCATGAGCATTTTAGACAGATTGTAAATAACAGTTTATGTTTGCCTATAACACGAACTGGAAATAAAAAGATCAAATCGATCTTATTCTAATAACTTAAAAATCTTCACAGTCATTGCAGATCCTCAAGTAGATTCGAGTTTAGGTCCGGTGTTCACAGAGCGAACTGCAGTCAGCTGAATGAACAAAGAGTCTGTTTACACGCTTCTTGCCCTTAAAAAAATGCAGTGCAACAGAATGAAAAAACGTACAAGGTCAAGATGTAGGCTGTCTTGACACGCCGGTTAAAAACTTTAAGAGACCCTGAAAATAGTCAAACTAGCACAATAGTCAAGCTTGACTATTATCTAGTGTGTGTGTGTACCTGTATAACCTTATTTTGGGGACAAATTTGAACCCAAAAGTGTGCTAAACCAGACAAAATCTCCAAAAACTTCCCTTTGGGGACGTGTAAAACTTGTATAAAAATAAGTATACAAATTTTATTTAAAATTGTAAAAATGCAGATATTTTTCTGTGAGGAGTAGGGTTAGGGAGTAGGTTAGGATTAGCTTATAAAATCTACAACTAACTGTATATAAAAACAATAGAAGTCTATGTAATGTCCCCATTTAGCTAAGTAGGCTAAACTTGTGTGTGTGTGTCATACCTGTCAACATTTGGGTACCAAAGTACTGGAAGGGGGGGGGGGG